ACTATCTAACCCCATTTCTTCATGGATTTTAAAGTCATGCAAAGTCTATTTTAGGTAGGGGCATGCTATTTCTTATTTTTGATTTTCTTTAAATTTGAAAGAATCTGGTGCCCATCGTGCCATAGAATATTACACTTTTATGTGTTTGGTATTTATTTATTGAACACGTTTTGATATATAAAAATAAAACGTTAATATAATGTATATAATATGAACTACTTTAAATGCATATTTGTTAAAGGAGAACCCCTGCTGTGAGCAGGATTCAAACCCTAGCTTCTAGAATGTGAGTCATGTACTGAAGCCATTATCCCAACAAGCCACTCGGCAGCTTAGGCTATAGCTGAAAATGTTTCCAAGTAATCACATGTGAATGAATCATATTGAAAGATGTTTACAAAGAAAGTGGACTATGGTAATACTTTGACCTATATAAATATATTAAGATCATTAAATTAATGTTATTAATTTCTTTAAGATACACGATTCCATTATTAAGCAGATTCTAAAAATTATCTAAAAAGAATGCATTTATTACTACGATAACGAGCATATTCATAAGTATTCATATTTTTTATAAAGTATTTAAACTTAAAATAAAATGAGCACACCATAACATTCCCAAAATAACCACAGTAAATGAACAAGTGAAATATATTGATGCTTTAAATGTTTATGTCTATTAAGAAAGTGGAATAGTGTATATTTTTTTAATTAAACTGCCACTACCAGCCATATAGAGTTTGATAATATATTTATATTCCTAAATTATTATTGTTTATTATGTTCTGAGAAGTTATTCTCCTCTTTTTTACCAAAATTTCCCTTTAGTTGTAAAATTCCATATTAATATTCAAAATGAATGCTTACAGTGCCTTGCGAAAGTATTCGGCCCCCTTGAACTTTTCAACCTTTTGCCACATTTCAGGCTTCAAACATAAAGATATAATTTTTTTATTTTATGTGAAGAATCACCAACAAGTGGGACACAATTGTGAAGTGGAACGAAATCTATTGGATTTTTGAAACTTTTTTAAC